GTGTGTGTGTGTAAATATATACTCAATACTCGAATTAATTAAGTTAACCGATTTTAATTGCGTGAGATCTATTAAAAATACCTTAATTTATTCTTATAGAGAGAAGAAGAAAAGAAAAAAAATAAAAAGAAAATACTGAGGGATTAATATAAATAAAATGCCTTACTAAAGAATTACCTTAATAGGATTAATCATCTGAATGTTGATTTTAATTATAAAGTATATTTAATAAAAAATAAAATGAAAGCCGCCTAATATAAATTCTCTTGCAATAGGGAAAAGTATAAATGCACAGCAAAGCCCGCAAGCGTTACACCCTAATTAATTCGAATCATTTTTAATAACATTGATAGCAAACAATTCATAAAGAATATTAAAAACAATTTAAGTGTTTAAAGAAAGAAAGAAAGAAAGAAACAAAAAAAAAACAAATGTTTATGATATCTCTTAAAAAAACAAAAAGAAAATTCCAATAGTGTTCCATCCATTATCGATTATTAAATTTCCTAGGATTGCTTAGAATTTCTTAGTGCCAACCTAGCGCACTCTTTGTTCTATACTTCATTTAATAATAAATCAACGAAATCTTTGGAAATGTTATTTATCACGGCTTCAAACGTTTCCTTCTTCAATTTTATGCAACGGAAAATATACGCGCATACATCTATTTACATGGCATTCTACATAAATTTATTTATTTATTTATTTTCTTTTAATTACATAACCACACGCAACTGACAAACAAGGTATCGGTGAGTAATTAATTTTATGTTTATGTTTGAAAAGAACTTTTGATGACTATGCCAACTCCGTTCCGCTCCCCATAAAAACAATGAAACAAGAAGAAGAACTAGTTACGGCACGGCATGATTGTGATCGAAATTCTTTTTACCCATCACTAGTCTACGGCCGCAAATATGTAAATATAAGTGATTGAATGGCAAAATTGAGCAAAGATCCCTTTTGCTTGATGTAACTTATAGGATCCCTATGGGGAATCGAATAATAATCTAAGATACGATATACGAATGTGTGATTGTAGTTGTGCAAATCATATTTTTGTATAATCTGAGTCACATCGCAAGCAACTGTATAAACTAAGTACATAATCCCTATCCGACTTAGACTTAATTTTTATTAGTTTTTCTTCTTAGCTTAAGCGTACGCATGTCTATGCAAAATCTATTCACTCGCAACCTATCGTTTACCGTCTACGTTTAATTGCAATCAAAATCGCAACATCTCGTTTGAGATTTGATTATAGATTGACTTGAGACTTTTGAAGCTTTGGAAAAGTTAAAAGGACTGATTTATCCGATATTTAAATTCAATCTAATGAGAATAATAAAAAAACATTTGATATCAAACTTTCTTTTCTATGAAATGTAGTCACGATATCAAAGTCATGATATTTATCGTCAACAGACGAGCAAAGAATCATGACTATCTCGTTATCGTTATTTCATAATTATTTCGTTATCAATGAAGCTGACCAAAGTCAAACTTCGTGAGAATAAAGTAGAATAAAGTTTATGGCGGCATGGTTCAGCAGAAGTCAGCGTCAACTAAGTTTACCCATCAGGCAGAATTAAAGTAAACAAGTGAGAAAATTATATTCGGTTATAATCGAAACATTTATACCCAACACCGTTATCCTAAAAAGATATAAAAAAGGTAAAAAAACTAAAGTTTCATACCCTGTAATATGAAGTGGTCGCGGCTAATAGAAAAGCTTTTGTTGCATAGGCGTGCGGGCGTTGTAGGCGTGGACAAGTTTAAGTCGCTTCCAAATTCTTTTTGTCAATTTATGCACAATGCTTTCATTTTCGCTAACAAGAGTTTACCACGATTACTACATAGTTGCGCAGAGAGACAGATAGACGGACGAACGGGCGGTCATGTTTATGTCTAATCCAAATTTGAAACTAATCAAGAATTTATATATTTAATGGGATTTTTTAAGCATGTTTCTACGTCTTGTAAAAGTATTAAAAAAAAAAAAAAAGTTAAATTTTGATACACTCTAGTGTTGAGTAGGCGTGGTTTCCATTTTTATGCAGGCATCGCCTATAAAATACTTTCGTACATTGATCAGTTATAATGTATGAGTAATGAGCAAAAAAAATTTTTTGCTCCTTTTGGAAAACGGAGACGTTCTCGGTCTACGTGGTGTTGTGGGCGTGTACTGCGAACGATTTGGCCCATTGTCAGTACCAAGCGTGCATTGAAGCCGTCAGCTTCATTTTTGCGGCCAAGAGAATGCTTACAAGTAACGGACGGATGGACATGCGTAAATTGATTCAGAGTTTAATGCTGATAAAGAATATGGTGTTACCCAAACTGTCACTTTTCCATTTCAACTCGATAAATAATAATATAACCATGAAATACAATTATAGCCTTATATGACACCCATTTCTTAACGGCTATCACTACATCCCAATCCAATTTCAACTTATTGCACCTTAAAGAACTTAATCAAATTAAAATACCAGACAATTTTTAACAAAGCTAAGTGTAAGTATGTTTTGTTGTAATAAGAAAAAGTTCAACTTACCCCTCCTCTCAAAGAGTTTCTTGCGCCTTCTTCACAGCACACCAGTATAAACATACAATAATAATATAAATTTGTATCTCGTCATAAACCTGCATAATACACGCGAATGCCGCGAGCGGTTAGTGGTTAATGCTTAGTAAGCAAAGTGATTTATTGTCTAAATTAATTGTTTGCCGAATTATCTCACGGTAAGCATTGTTTTGCTTACTTAAACACTCAAGTTCAATTATGTACTTTAAGTGGCATGTTTAAAGTTTCCTTTTAACAAATCATAATCCTAATGAAACATACACTGCACATAGAAGTCATTCATGCTTGCATTTATTTAGCGTACACAAAAAAAAAAAAACACTATTTATATGCAAAAGTTCCTCTTCATAAACAATTAAACAGCAGTAGAATTAGCGCCAGTTGGAATAAGTTTAAGAAGAAAATGACAAATAAATGGCGACACACTGAAGGCCGACCTCCGCGAAATTGAAGAATATAAGAGATGTGCAATGGGCAATTTAACAGGCAATCATTAATTGAAGCAAACGCAAACGCTCTTTAGACTCTGATACTAACGTTTAGTATGTGCGTCTAGCTGAGACGAATAATCAGCAATTGCGTATATTAACGATCAAAAATGCTTAGCGCCTAAAACATACACGTAAGATGTTATTGACACTACGCTCAAAGGGGGGGGGGCGGCGTCTTGGATGCTTAAATGTTTTTCGTACAATTAAATAAAATTTATTGGGATTTTATATTTTTGCGTTTAACAAATTTCCGGTTTTCGCGTAATATGTCTTCTCCCTTTTTTTTTTTTGTTTTAATTCGTTTTAAACAATTTTTTTTTTTTCATCAAATGCTTAAATACTTTTCTTTTTCAATTTAACTAAACCTTTGGCCTCTTCTTCGTTTTCTATAATTTATGCATAAATTTTATATTTTACTGTTCTTTTTCTACACACGCACATACACATAAATGCATGCACATGCATGTACTACACTGGTTGTGACAACTACTGCTGTGCTGCTACCGCGAGCTGCTTCAGCCACTTGATATTCAGACACACACAAAAATTTTGCAGGTGATTGCACTCACACGCACATATACATCATAAAATATCATATAAAATTTATACATATAACAATAGGAATTTTTATTAATTTTACTTGTTGTTAATTAAATAAATCACACACTGTGCGTTTCTTTATGAACGGCTCGTGTTAACTAATTATTATTGTTTTTGTCACAGTGCAAGAACAGCATTGCATTATTTTATTTAACATTTAATTGTGTGCCGTATAATTTTCACTTTTTTTAGTTATTTTTCGTTTCTCTTTTAAGATATTCTTTTATTACCGCAAAGCCGATTTTTACTTGACGACTATGTCGACGTTTTTACGTTGACAACGTTGAATTTATGCAACTTTTCTCATAAATTAAAGTTCCTTAATTTCTTTATTTTTTGGTAGATTTTTCTTATAATTTCACGCTTTAATTAGTTAAGTTTTACTCACTATTAATATATTTTAACTTTAATTTAAAGTTAAAAAAAAACAATATCTCTGCCTTCTTGAAATTCACCACACACACTAAAAAAAAATAGACAATGTTTGGATTTATATTGTTAAAATGTGATAGCTCTGTCTCTTTCACTCTCTTTCAGACACTGCTCCTCTCAGAGCAAAACTTTTCTTTTGGCTTTGCCTGAGAATGAAATACAATTTCTGAGAGTAAAATTTACTTTGTTGTACATTTCTTATAGAGGCCCAAAATAAACGATGAGAATAATGAAATTCTTTTCTGAGCGTAAAATTTACTTAAAATGATTGAGACCAAAGAAGTGTTAGCTTTTTTGTAAAATTCTCAAGCACATGCACACGCAACGTAACAAATTAATAATTCACGTAGTTAAAGTAGCATAAGTTGTCTCCTTCTGTCGTGTCTGTGTTTTTATTTTTGCGTCTGTTTGCCTTCTCTTTTCCTTCTATATCTAAATGCAGTATATTAAGGTGACCAATTGATTTGATTTCTAAACATTGTAGGCAATATATATAATTCTTGAAAATTTGTTTTCTACGTATAGATCATTTATAATAGTTATTGCGGCGCTTCCATGTTGTTCGTTCAGATTAGAAACCATTTCTCCTTCCTCAAAATTTGAAAATATTATGGATTGCAAATATAAGTGGATTAAACATATCTATTATTAAATGAATTTTAATATCCTAACGAGTTTTTCTTTTCTTTCTTTTTTTTGGTTGACTGAAATAAATTAAAAAAAAAAAAATATTTCCAACTTCAAATAAATGAAAGTTACTAAATATGCTATCAGCAAATGTGAGCGCCATAATACAATAAAAAAATTTGTTTACAAAATTTCTTAAGTCAGTTAATGCACATGTGCTCGTTAGATGTGCGCTATGATCAGCTGTTCAGCGTAAGCATTTGTAAGAAACCTAATTAGACTTACAAAAATTCCCGCTTGTTAAGTAATCTGGAGTGTGTCTTATATCAAATTAAAGCCGGAAAAAAGAAATTAATAAAAGATGATGCACTTTCGTCGCAAATATTTATATCTATTAAATTGTCGCTTGCATAAAACCATTACGTTAACATACATACCAAGTTGCAAGAAATATTTGCATACTTCCTCAACTGGTGACAATCCTCAGGTGGAGATAAATTTTTCTAATGGGTAAAAGAAGCGAAGTGAAAAAATGAATTCTATTTAATAATATTACTTTTCGTCAACCCTCTCAGACGTAAGCTCAACATAACAATGGGAAAATATGCTCGTTTCGCGAACGCCTCAGCAGTTTGTGAAATGGGAGACACAGCCGTAATGGTGACGGCGGTGGCAAAAAGCAAACCTCAGGCTGGTGTTAATTTTATGCCGTTAGTGGTAGATTATAGACTGAAGAATGCCGCTTCGGGACGTATACCTATGAATTTTATGCGCCGAGAATTGGGTCCCTCGGAAAAAGAGATATTATCTGCCCGCTTAATAGATCGTTCGGTACGTCCTTTATTCCCATTGGATTATAGGACAGAGACACAGTTAGTTTGTAACATTTTGGCCATGGACGCGATATATTCGCCTGATATTTTGGCCATTAACGCCGCTTCAGCGGCCTTAAGTTTAAGCGATATCCCATGGAATGGTCCTATCGGAGCAGTAAGGTAATTTCTTACAATTTTTTTTTTTTGAAAAACTATGAACAGTTATTGCCCCTCTCAGATTAGGCTTATGTGATGGGGAAATTGTCATTAATCCCACACGCCGCGAGCTACAAAATTCTCAACTTGATCTAGTTGTCTCAGCAACTAAACAAAATCTTGTAGTTATGCTAGAGGGCAAAGGGAATATGGTACTTCAACAGGATCTCCTCAAGGCTATTAAACAAGGCACTCGTGAGGCCTATCAAATTGTTCAGGAGCTTGATCGTCTTCAGCGAACATTTGGAAAGGAAAAGCGTCCAATAGAACCAAGTCCAACCAACCAAATGCCAGCAGATGTTATTGAAGCTGTCCGCAGTATGGGCGAAATGCGTTTACGTGATATTTTCCAAGATTCTCACCATGATAAATTGTCTCGCGATCAAGCGGTAAATGAAGTACGATCGGATGTTGTGGATAAAGTCTGGTCTAGTTATCCGAGTGTAGAACCAGCTGTTATCACTGAAGAGTTCAATCGCTTATGTAAGACAATATTTCGAAATTTATTATTCGAAACTAGTAAACGATGTGATGGCAGAGATTTCGCCGATTTGCGAAAAATACAGTGTCAGGTGAGTCGAAGAGAAAACAAAAAAAACTGTATCAACTTTGCAATAATTTCAGGTAGATTTATACAAACCATTGCACGGTTCCAGTCTTTTTCAAAGAGGTCAAACACAGGTATTTTGCACGGTAGCTTTAGATTCCCAAGAATCTGCAATGAAGTTAGATACAGTGACCGCTTTGGAAAGGTGTGTTGCGTAAATATTAAAAATAAATTTAATTGAATTTCACTTATTCTAATTGCAGTGGTGTTAAAGCGAAAAATTTTATGCTACACTATGAGTTCCCTCCCTACGCTACTGGAGAGGTAGGGCGCATAGGCCCCGTGGGCCGAAGAGAACTAGGTCATGGTGCTTTAGCTGAAAAAGCTTTACTGCCCACTTTGCCCAATGATTTTCCTTTCACGGTACGTCTTACTTCAGAAGTGCTCGAATCAAATGGATCCAGCTCCATGGCTACGGTTTGCGCCGGTTCCATGGCGCTTATGGACGCCGGTGTTCCAGTCTCCAGTGCAACAGCAGGAGTAGCCATTGGCTTAGTCACTAAGTACGAAAATAATGATACGAAACATTTGGAAGACTATCGTATATTGACCGATATTTTGGGTATTGAAGATTACATGGGTGATATGGATATGAAAGTGGCGGGAACACGGAAAGGCTTCACCGCCATACAAGCTGATCTTAAAGTTCCCGGTATTCCTTTGAAAGTTGTAATGGAATCACTACAGAAAGCTACTGATGCCAAAACGAAAATACTCGACATTATGTCAGCGGTTATAAAAGATCCGCGTAAAATTGGAAAAGATTGCTGGCCCGTAACTGAACGTTTAACTATTGAGCCGAATCAAAGAGTGCGACTAATCGGACCTAGCGGAATAAACTTAAAAAAGTTATATCTTGAAACGGGGGCCACTGTCACTGCCTTAGATGAAACTAATTTTACTTTATTTGCTCCTTCACAAGCAGCAATGGACGAATCTAAGGAAATTATTGAAAATTTACTTGTAGCCAAGGAACGCATACCAGACTTGGATTTTGGCGGTATTTATTCGGCCAAAATAATTGAAATCCGGGATACCGGCGTTATGGTTATATTATATCCAAATATGCCCCCAGCTTTGCTACACAACTCGCAATTGGATCAAAGAAAGGTACGAATTGACTGCGTTGATAAAAAACAGAAACCGTTTACATGATGAAATGGACGCAAGATAGTCGGACGAACAAATCAATGTCACTTGAGTAGACGTGACATTGTGCTCACAAAATCTAAAAATCATCAAAGTTGTTTCGCGTTATTTATGATATCTTATCCTTTTTAGGTGGCTCATCCGTCGGCTTTGGGCTTGGAAGTTGGGCAGGAAATTCAGGTAAAGTATTTTGGACGTGATCCTGTTTCAGGATTTATGCGATTGTCACGTAAAGTCCTACAACCTGCAACTGGTATTGTGCAGACGCTGCAAAAACCATCATCGCCGGGAGACACACATACAAAAACACCAAATAATAAATCCTCGCCAGAAGACTCTTCAGCAGTTTCATGAAGATTGTTGTCAGTGAATCTTTGCTTAATAATCCTTGAATACTAGACTTGTTATTATTAGGATGAGAGCAGTTTTATTTTCTTTTTTTTTTTTTTTATTTTTTAGTTTAGTGCTTATATATTTTGTAAAATTGATAATAAATATAAATTCAAAGAGAGAGAGAGAGATACGACTTCCATTTGATCTCAAAGGAAAAGTAATAAAATAAAAAAAAATAATAATAATAATAATGAATAAAAGAAATGAAAAATTTGACTTCTTAGATGATAATTAGTCGGAAAAGGTTGTTCATTAAATTATAATACGATAATACGAATCACTAATGCTGTATAAGGCGACTATGGTTACTTTAGTGGCCGTTAAATAATCTGTTATTTCCTCATAAATTTCACTAATGTAACGTCGATATTTAGGAAATCTGCAAGTAGGTGTCAATAATTAATGATTGATTGTATCCCAAGTGAGAAATTATCCGCATTATTTGCTCCTTACCTATCTATAACAGATGAAATTTCGTGTTCAGTCTCTTTTTTACCCAGATCTCGAGGATTAACCGCCCCCACTATAGCATTTAGCGCAGTTGGCGGCAATTCAACCACTAGAACCGTTACAGTCTCACTTTTCACAAAATGCGTGAGTGTAGAAGACATTTGTTGAGTAACCTTACGGGAATAGGAAAAAATAAAAAATACTTATAGCGCAACTCGTCGAATTGCTACATTGCGTGCAAAGACAATTTCGTTTTTTGCTTTGGATGTAGAGTAATAATGGACTAAGCCAATATGATATATGGCTTGTTATTTACAAGATGCTACACTAATAATAGACGGGAACTTTTATTGGTTGGTTGAAAGTAGTGTCTGACCGAATCATTTCTTAATGTTTCTTTTTTTTTTTTTATTGAATAGATAATAAGTTTTTCGTAATGCCTGCTGGCTGGACGGTTTGACATATCTCCTCTAACGTTTTGTCAGAACACTTGCAATGTCCAGAAGGAAGCATTAGAGACGTCACAAAATATATGCACTCTTGATCAACTTCAAATTCTAAATCAATTTAAGAATGTCCGTCTGTCCGTCAGTGCAATGTCTCTTGTAAACATTCTCCTGGCCGCAAAAATGCAGCAAACAGCTTTAAATCTGGCAGAGAGTTGCGAAGTTCCTACACAACATAAACTTAGGATGCCTCTGTTTTTCCAAAGAAATAAAAAATTTGTTTTTTTGTTCATTACTCATAAACTGTAGCAGATAAATGTAGAAAAATTTGAAGACATAGTCTATAAGCGACGCTGTGGCACCTATACAAACATGAGCGAACCTGGCAACGCCTATCAACTGCTATAACGTATAAAAATTTAACTTTTGTTTCAATATCTTCATTACAAGCAGAAACAATCCTTAAAAATTCCATAAAGTATATAAATTCTTGGCCAGTTTTAAATTTGGAAAGTACCTAAATATGTTCGTCTATCCATCTGTCCGGCTACGTAACTCTATGATAAACATTCTCCTGTTAGCGAAAATGAATATATCGCCTAAAAACTTGCAAAAGTATGCGAAAGTGACTTGAACTTTTCCAAGGACAGGCATACAATGCCCACACTACTGCGCGACAAAAACTTTTACTTCAAAATTAGAAAACCTTGATATATCATTAATTGCGGGTTGAAAAGCAAACAGAAGCAGACAGAATATCTTTAGCTATATGCAATATACTTGGACGACTGCATTTAGCCCAACTATATTTTTAAAGATTACGGTTTAAGAAAGTTATAACTGGTCGGCCATTTTTGAATAAGCCTGATTTCAAGGCTTAAGAAATTCTATATAAAAACCGTTAATTTTTCAATTTTTCAACTTACCTGATTCTCGTAACGTCTTCTATAGTTGGACGTCAACTTGTCATGGGTCATAAATGTTACTTGAATACTCGGTAAATTACTCAAGCTTGAATTATGAAAATTTTTAATATTTGTACATGCAGAGCTGGTATTTAAAGCACTATCTCCTCTCCCACTTAAACTGCCATGACTTACATTACTGCCACCGCTTGCGCCAATGCTGTTGGCATTTCCACCACCGTGCGATAACTGTGGGCAATACTCATGGAAAGGAGGTGACATCATTTCATTGCGTCGTATCTTCTGTATGAAATCTACCAATTCGGTACGTGTTACTTGACGTTCTTGGAAACGTTCTCGGTCCCATGAACGTATGCGTAAGGCACCGTTTTCTGCTACTAATATTATATGATTAACGCCCAATTTAGCAAAATCTTGTGCTTCGTCACTTCCACCTGTAATAGATTCGACGAAAGAGCACGGTATGCCCACAGTCCAAAGTAAATGCATTATATATGTCACATCTTTCAGAGGTGGACGAGATCCACTCACGCACACAGCCACATCAATTGTACGACATTTACGTGAGTCTTCTGCGCCAATTGCCAGAACTAATTTATCAAGTGAGAACGATAAGCCGGCACCACTTATATTGCGATTCGCAGCGACATTTGTGTTAAAAGCTTGAGCCTGCTTTTGAAATTCATTTAACATACCGTCGTAGCGTTCGCCTACTGCCAGAACCGCAGGACGTGAAGAGCGATTTGGTTTTAGATCTGCTATAAGCTGCCAGACAATGCCGCCATTACTGGCGCGTTCATAACTGATTGGGAGGCCAGCAAAAACATGGATGGGAAATTTCACTCCCAGGCTTTGTGCCAATAATACAACCGTCTCTATTTCTCTTAAAGCGCCTTTAGCTAAAGAAGCCGCTTCCCCTTTACCTCTTACCAAAGACTTTAAAGAAGAATCGTCACCACTGTTTTTACCACTTACTTGAAAGCTGGCTAACAGCAAGTCCATTAAAGCTGTTGCTGAACAACGAGTTTTTTCCATGATAACGTTTATACTCGAATGGAATTGGAACTTTGATATACGTCCCTCAATGAAGTCCAATATATTGGCGAACAAATCGCTATACATGGCTTTGGGTACATTGCAATATAACAGAATTGCTTTCAAAAGATTAGTGTGGTTCATGCGTATCAAAACGTTCTTTTCTCGCAAGTGGGGACTATCGATAAGAATTTCATTAGCCAAAGATAAAAGTTCAGCATCAACTAAATGACTGGCGGAATGTGGTGAGATGACGTCGAAAGCACATTCGTAATTCTGTTTGGGATGGAAATTGAAAACTTTCTCCTCTCGGTATACTCGACCCACGCAATAACGTCTCATCATGTTAATCCCACTCATGGCCACATGTCGAGCAAATTGGGAACGCAGATCACTTGGTAGTACTACTACACAGCCGGAGTGAGTCATTAGACGTACGGGATTGCACCAGTGATGGTTGGTGTGACGGGTAAGCGGCGACAGTAGAGGTGTATCAATTTCAATCGCTCCATGCTTTCGGAAGATTGATACTACTTTAGCTTTGACAAATTCCATAAGTGGACTTAAAGTAATCAAACAATCCAATACAATAGGATTATTCCACGATTTCATGCTACGACTAGCACCCAGGTGATAAGTATGTTCAAGTATTTCATCGCTTTCTTGTTGGAAACAGCGGGCCACAATATGTTTGTAAGCTTTGCTCTGCGGATTGGCGAGAGCATTCTTTAGCATTTCTTGTAATTCGCTGGCCTCTAATTGAGCTGGAGGCACCAGATCAGAAGCTAACAGCTCTTCGGCCGTTGGTCTTTGCGCTGGATCATGGTTTAACAACCAACGCAAAAGCTAAAAACTTGTCATTTAATTGGATTTTTAGACAAAACTTCTACTGTGAGCTCACCTTAATAGTTTTTTCTAATTTGCTGTCGTTTATCATTGCATTGGGTGCAATTATGTTTGGGCTACGTAAATTAATTATTGTCTGCGCTCTTTCCATACTTGTCGCGAAGGGTGGCTGACTCATTTCAAATAATATTATGCCTAATGTGTACATATCTACCTTTTGATTATAAGTTGATTTTGATGCGTTTCCTGTCAATTCTGGAGCTACGTATAATGTCGTTCCAACTTTACCAGTACCAGTGCCATCTTCAGTGGAGGTAATGTGCGACGTTTGCGTTGGTTGCATGGACTCAACGTGTGATTGCAAGGCCAAAAAACTAGTTGTGGCTAAACCGAAATCGCCGATTTTTATCTGATCATGGGAATCTAAAAATATATTAACCGGCTTTAAATCGCGATGTATGATTCCTTGCTGATGGATGTGCGAGAGACCTTCGGCAATTTCGCGGAACAATCGCCATAACCGGTCAGTATTTTGAAATAAATTATCGTCGATAGCAGTGCGTAGAGTGCACTTCTCACAAAATTCCATTTGAATGTACATAATTTGCATTAGTGGTTTAGGTGATATTGCTTTCGAAGTTAAATCACAGTCTGCCATATCATCTTTGTCTTCGTCGTCGTACACAGCAATTTCGCCATTAGAGTCAACAAATTCAATACCATCGGAATCAGAATCCATGCTAGGCATGTAGTCATTCCAGAGACTAGAGGAATCTCCAGTATCCATTTCCTCTGATTTTAAAGCGCGTGGAGACTTTGGAGGCTTAATGCTCTCATGACTTAGCGACCAGTCACCTGCCAACAGGTGGTCCATTTCTTTCATGTCCTCTTCATTTACACTTTCAATCCAACTGTTAAAGTAACGTACCACATTCTCGTGGTTTAAGCGCGATAATAGCTCCACTTCTCGTGTCATTTTCTTGTACAATTGTCTGCTACGCGCGGGTAACGGTATTCGTTTTATGGCGTACTCTCGATTATCTAGTATATTGCGCACCTAATAGAAATTGACAATAAACTTTCTTTCTAGGAATATTCATTTAAAAAAATAAGTTTACCTTTAAAACATCACCGAAAGCCCCTTTACCTAAATACATCAGAACCTCAAATTCAGTACGCAAACGCGATTGACTAGATGGCAATGAAGGTATAGTCAAGGGTGCAACTGCTAATGTCTCTTGACGTTGTATTATGTTCAGGGGAGGCAGTGCGTTCGTCTTTAATTTAAGTTGAGTATTAAGATTTACTGAAGCCTTCGCTAATAAAACATTTTCTTTTTCTTCATTGTTAAATAAAGAGGACCGTAGAAAAGGATGTTCCAATAGCTCAGAGGCTGATAAAGTGCGATCTGAATTGCATCTGAAAGAAGGAAAAAAGATAACAAAATTTTAAATATTTTCTTCTCTTAGAACTTTTATTACTACTTGCTTTTCCACGAAATCTCTCATTTCAAAGGTACGTGTTGTCATAAGACTGTCAATCAAAGCTCCTAGCGCTGGTAAATCACCTTGCGTCGATCTTTCCCCTGAGCCACCTATAAGCTCCAAGAGATTTGGTACCAAAGAAAAATCTGAACATCTTATGGTGCCAGTATTGTCCATGAATACAGTCGAGTCCAACAAATGACTATGTGAAACACCTCTGTTATGTAAAAATACTAAAGCGTCTAAAATCCCCTTTGCCAACCCTCTTACACCGTCCATACACCAGCCCAGTGAAGAGGAAATGCTAAAAACGCTTGTACCCAAAACAAAATCCTGCACCAAATATATGAGCAGCCCTTCTTTGCGTTTAATGCAGTGCACACATTCGTATTGGATGAGGTTTTTATGGTGGAGCTGAGACAAGGAAGCCACTTGTTTTTCTATGGAAGCTATAACATCATCAACACGGTGATTCCCAGAACATTTGTGTTCCGAAGAAAGCCAAAAACATTTTCCACCTCCATTAGCGCAATGCTGTTCGATTTGAGAATATTTAATATTCCATTCAGTAATATATAATAACTGGCCAGAATCCATATCTATGCCGGTGTAAGCTATGCAGCCCTTTTGAGAGTGTCCTATCAATGAAAGGTCATAGTTATCATAATTACGTTTTTAGAGTACATTTCTTGTACCAACTTACCCAAGCAGCATCCCCTTCTGATTTGACGACCGACCTTATGAAAATATAAATTATCACTATTACGATGTTCTGCACATTTTGTTGGGTACATATATCCCCTATGAAAGGGCGAAGAATTTTCGGAGCTTTCAGAAGAGCTAGCATGCCGATTTGATTCACTCATACTGCGCCGTGGTTCCCTACGCTTCGCCTCCGATTTAAACATTTCTTTACGTTTCTCGACTTCATCAATACGATTTTGTCTTTCTAAAGTTTCACGTTGTTTTTGTAAATCCAAAAGTTCTTGTTCTCGTTGTTGTTTTTGTTGCAGCATTTCGTCGTAAAAAGAACCGCGGGGTGGCTTATTATGTTTTAATAGAAAAGCTTGCACCGACTGAGCTAACTCAAAGATCATTACCTCACCGCGCAACATAAGCGATTGTTGCTGTAGTTCCATTAAAAGTTCTTCAATCAGTTGATCAGAAATTCCTTTAGTATCTTCAAGAAATATTTTTGGTGCCCTATATAAAATTATTTGCTAGTAAATTAACGCAATACGGTTGTTAATGAGATTTCCTTACGTACACTTTGGGATACTTCGACGGGCAGATTATATGTAGTTTTGTTCTAACATAAACCTCCGATGACCCAGAAGAGTCCCTCAACGGCGTTAGCATAATACGTATGTCAGTGGGTTTCCATTGCGAAGGTGTGGTATTCTTAATGTCCGGTCTTAAATCCTCTACATCATTGCCGAAAATGGACTGGTTTTAAGAAGGTCGGAATTAAATATAATGTTGTTCAAAATTTGTGTGAAGCTCATCATACGCACCTTGATAGCTTCCAATTCTTGCATTTGTCTTTCACGAAATGATTCTTTGGTAGCCATGTTCCATTTATAACAGTCTACCTTTGCTTTCCAATGTCTTTGTACATTTATTCAGATCAAAAATTATATCCTTTTCACAAAATTAGTCGACTTTATTCCAGCCTTATTTTCTGATAAGCTGCTGTTATTCAAACAGCTGCACGTAAGTTGCGCTCACATTTAAAATTATTTCTCCTGAAATATTTTGCAACTTGAACTTTTTCTTTATTTAGTTTCTATACACCTAATTTTTTATTTTCTTTTTCGGAAGCTTCAGGCAAATCAGTGCACATTCAATCAAAAAAAACAAAAATACGTTCCGACAAGTGTCGATTTCTTTACCGCTATTGGCAGTGTTGCCTACAACAGAAAGTAAATTTATTTTATGCATTTGTAATGTACCTAAAACTATAGTTTGAACATTACATGAGAACAAGATACTACCTCTTATAGACTTTGTGAATTTTGTTCACATTTTGCTCTATAGATTAGCATTGCCAGATACAATGTTTTTCTTATTTCGTAAAAGAATTTGAATTTGGTAGATAGCAGACTGCTTCAGTGTTTAGTAATACAACATTTTTTAATTAGGAAATATAGTATCATGTACAAAATTTGCCTCTTGCAAAAATAAGAAAACTTACCTTACCAGAAATTTTGATATTCGCCATCGGAGAAAAAGAGTACGTAGTACTTTTTTGTCCACCTCGTAATATTCAATTAGACACGCCCATTAATTTTGAATTTCTTTGGTCAATTTTGATAGAAACAGTAGGATAATAGTGAACCAATAATTCGTTAATATATTATTCCGTTTAATTTATAAATTTATAAGAAATACCCAAATTGCTAATTTTTCAAGTGAAAGTAAAAAAGTCAAATGTTACGTATGTATGATATATTATTTATTATTATAAAACAAAATTTTTAATTTAAGAAATTGGATCAAGGTACAATTGTTGAAAAAAAAAGAAACAAAATCGAACGCATGTAATACAATTCAAAATCATCATTGGTCCATCATAAAATCGATTCAATTTCTGAACATGATTTTCTAAACAGTAATATACAGGTTTGCCCTTTCAAAATATCCTTATATTAGCCATTTTCTATATTCTATTTTCTATATTGTTCGTGATTATAAAACAAGAAACTTAATTCATTTAATTATCATTATTGAAAATCGTTATTGCCTCCTCATAGGCTTGATTAAATTTTTGACGAAGATTTTCCAAATATTTAACTTTTAAATCTTTACCTTGAATATTTAATTCATAAGTCTTCGTTTTTAAGTATGTATTTAAAGTATCTTTATATAAAGTATTTTCTATATCATCTGTTAATTGCTCAAATTTCGCTTTTGCTTCTTGATAGTTATCATATTTCATTATCTGAGATTGATCTTTAAATGGTATATTATTCCATACATTTTCGTTCACGCTTTCGAGCATTTCAACATATTTCGCAGTAGTCAGAAGAATTTTTGAGCAAACGAAACTAATTTTTATGAAATAACTCAAATAATATTCATTTTGAAGCTTACATGTTTCATTGAAATGCCCATCAATTTTTCGATACCACTCACTTAGGCTACTGAAATCGCTTTCAGAATACGAATCATCACTTACTTCCTTTGGGGACGATGTGACAAAAAGATCTTGACTTTGACTTGACTGAATTGCTTCGTCATCATTATCATCTTCTTCAATGGGTATAGTAAAAGCAATCGATGGCCGTACACGTTTATTGGGAAGTCGCGCTTTAATCCAAAAATCTTCATTATCGGCCTTATAGTTTGCAACTGAAGGGCTTGAATTACCAGAAGATCCCACAGAAGACTAATAGCGGAAACAATACCTCAAATCTTAATGTAATTAAATATTAAAGAATTTAATTTACCTTCCTTCTCATCTCTGTTTGAGCTTTCTTACGACTCCTTACCACTGCATAAGCTAACTGTAACATATCGACAGTTTCGTGTGCCATTTTCAAATCGGTAGGCACATCAAACAAGAGAAGGCTATTTTTGCTCGCCTCAGCATCGATATGAGGCGAAATGCTTAAGGTTAATCCGTTATGCATAAAATCGCAATCACCGCCTTGACAACCTTCGCCTACATGTTGCATATACTTATGCCAATGATCGCGATCTTCAGTGCTCATCATGTTTAAGTAAATATTGAATAGATATAATTTTACTTGAAACGTCTGGTGTTTACCATTTGTGATTGAAAAATTAAAAACTAATTTTTCATGACCCGTTATTTCGTTTAATTTCGAACGGTACTCATTTAACAACCATAGTAACAATTCATGTGTATTGCGGAACTGATTCTTGGTATTACGCAAACATTTGGAACCACCAACATAAGTATCCATCGGACCTATTAAGTTGGTGCCTCTTATTGAGAAACCTTGTTCAGAGGGCATAGCACTTTTTCCGGGCAGTATGGTACTAATATCGTTGCCTTCTAGTTTGCAATATTGTAATTTGTACTTCTCCTGCTGCAAACGTTTTTCAACGAACATTATAAGCGTATCGAAGAAAATTGCGACTTCAATTTCATGCTTAACCGCAAAACGCATAATGCAAATATTCTGACGTTCGAGTATCAACTCACCGATGACATGATGAAGTTCTTCTCTAACAACATCGACCGACGTAAAGCTAACCTGATCGAAAGACATTTTGTGCGAAATATTGGTCTGAGGCCCAGCTTCTGTTTCCCGCACATTCAGCTGAAGCGTTGTTTCGTTGATTACCAAAACATTAGCTTGCATATGACCACCTGAAGTCGGTATAGGCGGAGAAGTGGAAGATGTTATCTCCCCTCCAGAGTATTTCCTCTCACTACAAGTTTTAACGCTACCGGCAACATTATTATTATTATTATAATCGTCCTCTTCAGGTGCATTAACTTGCACTACAACCCGTAAATGGTTTAACAGTTTTGATGGCATAATATTACGCGCCTTAAAAATGGACGACAATTAATTTAAAACAAAGCAAACCACTCTATTTCTACAATTGTTGATTTTTTACCGCTATAAACAATGTTGCCTACAATTTAAACTAAGTTTAGCCTATTTGTGTACAGTTAGAATTAGGGTCAGTGAGAATGACGTGTTTTTAATGTATTTGCTTTTACGATATGAATGCGAACGCAAATGCTTAATATATTCGCTGTTATCTATTGAAATTTCTGCGAACAATAAATTTTCTTTTATCAAAAAGTTTAAGCTTAAATGCATATTAAAATTGCAAATTATGATCATTTCTTTTATTCGCCGGTATTGCCAAATACGAGGTTTTTCTTATTTCGAAAAGAAGAATTGCTTCGCTTATTTTGTAACAGTAGATTATTACGTGAACAGTTTTTCCCTGAAAGATATAGTGCGCGGTGTACACGGTCAGTTTTTGAAACGATTTAAGTACGCGTTTTAGTTTTTCCATTAACTTTTTCTAGGAAAAGCAAAACTATACTGTATTATCAGTTCATTAGTATTTAATTGAATTTTTTCATAGCCAAGTTAACACTTATATAAGTTAATTATATTTATTAAATGCCTACGAAGAAGATGTATTGGCAGAAGACTATCGCCAAAACTGCTTTACAAAATTTCGTTCCTATACTTTGAAGACGTACACGTTCTAGATTCTAGAAGGTCAATTGAAGCTGAAAATAAAAGCATTAACTTGTGTAGATTGGCGACAATTCGTAAGATCGCTGAGAGATTCCATTGCGTTCATAATAATATATTTATCGTCTACAAAAAAAAGGACATGGTTCGTTTTGACCAAAAAAAAAAGGATGCAAAAGACTTTCCGAGGAATTTAATATTTTTCATTTCCTGAAATTAATCTCAAATAATAGATTATGCCGTATACCATTAAGAGATCTTAGAACAATGTTCACCAAAAAGTTTTGTTTGTTAGATCTTCGGAACGGCATACGTTAAAAATTTGCAAAAATATACTTAAAATCTTGCTTTAGATTATCTTAAGCTCTTTCATCTTATTTTGTTAACGTCAGATCCGAAATTAGAAATAAATAAATATGAAAATTTCTTAGTGATGACTACGATATTCTGCCATTTTATATAGACCACCTGCATTTTTGGATTTTTTTAAAGAACAATATTCATTGTTTATTTTACCGTTTCTTATAGTTAGCGAAAAAATTCATTACCCTGTTTATGTCCTTTGATCCTATATTTCATTTATGATATGCAATATATTTTCTGCACTTTCCGGCCAAGGTCAATTGTTAAAATTTCTGTTTTACTTTCCGACTTTTTCTTTTTTTTTCTTAAATAACTGACTTTTTGTTTTGCTTTTCTCCAAAAAGTCTTGCTTTGAAAAAAAAAAAAAAATTTTTTTATTTCGAAAATTTCGAAAAAAAAAATAATAATAAGAAAAACGTACTCTATCGCAAAAATATAAAAAAAATTTCCCGTTCCTCGTTTGGTCCTCTATAATTATTAAGAATTCTGCGATCTTGAGAGAAACCTTAAACGGAGTGTTTCTATAGAAAAGGTCTAAAAATTTGAATAAAATTTCTGGTGTCTTTCTTTCCTAATTAGAGCAAACATAATAATAATTAACGTTAAAATGGTTGATGGTCTGGAGCAATCGATGAATGTAAAACACCGTGTTATTGTTCAACTTAGTAAGACAACGCCTGAGGATAGTGGACGTTATGCGCCAATTACTTCCATATTTCAGGCGCCGTTGCGTCCCGAAAAGAATGACCCATACATAGCTGTCGACTATAATATGTTGCTTATAAATAAAAATCAATCCAGTTATTTTTCCGGTCTTAATAAGCAGCAATTGCAATTTGATTGTGTGTGCAATGGTTTTGAGGCGAGGGCACGTCAAGAATTAACTAACATGATGGATCAGGTATTCCTGCAGCATCAAAATTGTTGCATGATACGATGTACAGCATTTCGTGATAATTCAGTCGCTGTGCTAAATCATTTATTAGTGGTCGAAGTTAATAAGCGTTTGCAAGCGAATCATATGACCTTACATAATATTAAATGTGAATTATACGAATTGCGTAAGTTTGACGTAGTGAATCTTTTGGGTAATAACGTAAAAGAGAAGCGATTTCAGGGTACGATGGACTTGCAGAGATGGTTAAATAATGATTATGTACATTTAGTGTCCGGTGTTCAGGGGCACGCTTGCATCGATATTGTATTCTCTTATGCTGATCGGCGTCACCGTGCCTTCAGTGTAAAGTTTGCATATATGCAATTCGTGGCGAGTAAACTTGATACGGAAGCAAGAGCTGTTTTACGTAATCGTCTTGAAAATATACATAAGAAGCCGCGCGGCAATAATTCTGTGCTAATGGACACAATACGCGACTATTTGAGTTCGCGGAACAATATGAAATTGTGGATGTTCTTTGACATACCAGTGTACAAGAATTCGATTAGTCTTTCAGATGAAATGGTGAAAATCGCAAGTGCTGCTTATACTGGCTTCGAGAATATGCTGAGCGGTAGTAAGAGTCAAGATTCAACAGGTGATTTGGAAATCGTCTTACCTTACGATGACCTCGTCGCCGAAGATCCCGCCTATCTTAAAAGTTTACAAACTAAAAAATTTACGACTGCTATCGCTAGCAGCATGACCGAATATAATAACTTAAGTACTTGGTATACAAAAATTGATGAAAGCTTTCAACATGTCGTCACAACCATGCAAGCTTACTATGATTGCAAATACAATATTCGAATTAAGAGACTTTGCTCCGACCTGCATCGTATGATGGCTTATAATGAGTTCGAAACTGTGGCTGATGATAAGGATTTGTCTTCGTTATATTCGGAAGAAGACCAAAGTGACGAATCGATTCATCTATTAAAGAATTGTCTTCTTGAATATCGTAACGCAGTCGCGATCTTTCGTTCACTAATCGACGAGATATCACAATCGAAACGCTACGAATCATTGAAGGTATATTTACGCACCAAAAATTTTGATCTATTGCGAAATTCAATGGACTTTAAAATGAAAAAATTGCTGGAATGTCAAAAGGGCTTAGCACGTACTATCAACGAAGAAATGGACCTTATCAAGTCATTGAAGAATCCAAATGCCGTCGATAAAAATTAATTGGTATTCTCTGCATAAGTGAAAGCGGGAAATTTTTTTGCAAAAAAATACATTAAAAGTTTCATTACTTTTTTTTTCGGAAGTATGTTTTCAAATTCATGAAACAAAAGGAACAAAGAAAATTGTAAAAAAAATCATAAAACTTGAAAAATCATAAAAAAAATATATATAATATGTAAAAAAAAAAGACTGCATTATTCCGTGCACTAGGTGTGAAGTTCAGTAGGGTAGATATTTGGGTTCTTTGGTCGCATTCACTCATTCTTTTGCGCGATTTTTAATGTATTTTTCAAACGTGTTATATGTCATTTCATACAATACCTTTGGCAATTCCCAATTTTTACTACACAGTGTTGTATTTTTGTTACATTTGACGGCATATTAGAGCTTGGTCATGGAGGGTAAAATTTCAAATCCGCTCCGGTTTTGAATAAAACCGATAATTATAGATACTAGTTTGTTTCTCTCGCAATTAGATACCTCACGCAGTCGAGTACAATTATTTACACATTTTGATTATAATACGCGACGAATTATTATTTTATTATTTTCACGCTAAAGCATAGTTTTCATGAAAGCCCGCATAGTTTAGGAGGATGCCCAAAACATTACATGGCGTGAACTAAATTTTAGAAACTTAATTTATTTTCAAAAAATGTTATTGTTTTTCATTTTCCATCAGAAGAAAGTAGCAATTATACTTCCTCTTCATCTAAGAGTTTGCTTTTCATGATGACCCATATATAGGTTAGAGTCAAATAAATAAACCTATGTGATTCAAATTACCTGCCATTAATTTTTTTGGTAATCTTTATCTGCGGCGGTATCCAAACTATAGACCTACGTGATCCATATTCGTTAAGGTTGATTTCTGTGTTGGTTTATTATTATGAAGCAATTTTCACCACGAAATATTAAAATTTCGATCTTTTAATCATATAAAGGTTCGTTTTACGTACAAAAGGTGATATGAGATAGGGTTCGAAACGTTGCCCCAAACAAACTTAATCTCTCATACCCATTAATGACTAAGTGACTTTCGTCGATCATTTTGAAAATTGCAACTTTTTCAATATAACGTATTTTTAAAATATCGCTGTATGGTGAGTGGTTGAGAAAGTGGACCGATCCAAACAATTTTCAATAGCGTTCATCCTTAGGTAAAACGGCTTCAGTGTATTACTTTTCATTAAAATATCTCCAAATTTTGTGGTCTGTAGGTTTCAACCACAAAAACAAATCTCAGACGGACAAACGGACAGACATGTGTAGAATGATTCAGAAATAATTCAGATTCAGATAATTCCCGAATGTGACCTACTAAAATATATAACAAATAAATTTTTGATATCTTTTACATCTACCATTGAAACATCCATCCATCCCTCGTGCAATAATCTAAAAATTGTCATATTGTCATATTCTTCATCAGAGTAAAATTTTGAAAAATCCGCCTGTGGCTCCACGAACTTGTCTCTTTGTTTGTCTTTTGTTAAAAGTGCAAAGATAGGTAGTTGATCAGTGATCAAAAATCAGATTTGAAAATTAATCGAATCAGAGAAATGAATTTGCAATAAACACAAGCATTAAATATTTTTCTAATAATATATTAAAATATAAGAGCGAGAATGATGAAGAAAGCATTTAAGTAAATTATTATATAAATAATTTTGAATAAATTTTGTATACTTTTATTTCATAAATACTTTGTTTTATTTACCTAATTCTTGTGAATAATTCTCCCCTTTCAAAAATTCTCTTCTTCTTCTTCCAATTTCCAAATAAATTCCATGAGAAAGAAGGTTTCCAATTACATTTATATATAAAATTCTTTAGTTTATATATATCTATATATATGTATATGTATAAATATAATTATTGTCAACAATATATTTATATGAGAGAAACATGTAGATATTATATACATGTAGAATACATGTAGAATATATATAAATTGTTTTTGCAGAATAAAAACGTATAACAGCTTAAAAGAGATTGTTTTCACTTTAAAAATATACGCTTTCGAAATAGAAAGCTTCAATCTTCTTCATAGATGTTCTTCATAAACGAAGCTCACAAATCGCTAAGGATTTCTTCGAGAAAACTTGCCCTTTTTTTTTTTTAACTTTTAAATTAAAAAAAAAATAAAATTTTACACATAAGTTTTATGCTTGTTACACGTCTTCACTACCGAGGATGGGTCGATTAAGTCAAATTATATATTTATATATATATATATATATTATTATTATTTTTATTTGCCTTTGTATACATATATTCGTGTACTTGTGTAGATTTTTATTTTGTTTTAACTATTTATAGATATATATATATATATGTGTATGGAATGATAACAAGACTTTTTATTTACCCATTATTATAATGCATTTAAGGTATGCCAAGGATATGTTGAGCTTTTGAAAATCTCTATTTCTTTTTATTGGTTCTCTATATGTTTATTTTGATTTATATATATATATATATATGGATACATATATACATTTTTTTTTTTCATAGTATTGAAAGCGTTTTTATGTTGGCAGTAGTAATATTATTTACTTCATTTTTATTAGATAATTAAAAAAAAAAAGTTTTCGCCGTATTTTTAACTACACTATCGAATCATATCAGCAGACATGTAAAAATACCAGTTAGAGTATCCAAGAGATTGTGTATTTTTTGTAAGTATAAGATTTTGAATTTTTGATCAAATGTAAACTTCGGAATGTTTTCCCGCCGCTTGTCAACGATTTATATTATTCTTAGTTAGCCGTAAGTCAACTTGGAAAAGGTATGTGCTTCGGTCCAAAATACGCTTTTATATACCTAAGCTAAGCCACTAACAAACTGTAACTGACAAGCTGTGGTGGATGCTGTTCCACATAAATGTCGCCATTAGTTATATGGGAGTTTTTGGCCAACGGTTTCAAGGGTTGCCAAAGTCACACTTTTGCAGCTCGAATGGGAAGTTCTGCCCCACGCAGCATTCTAGCCAGACATGGCACCTTCTAATTATCATTTGTTCAGATCGATGCAGCATGGCTTGGCTGGCTTGCAACAATTGAAGAAGTAGAAAAATGGGTCGATGATTAGATTGCTGCCTAACCAATATAAGTTCTTCCCACACGATTTCGCCCCTTATTGTCAAAAATATGATGACAAATATTTTGGTTAATATATCGTTTATCAATTTTTCTTAATAAATGCCTTTTTCAAATGAAAGATCTGTTAAAATACACGCAATCTCCTAAGCCCAGAACAAAATGATGTCAGAACAAAAGCAAGGGATAGTCATATCTATGTAAATGCTTTTTGAATAGATCCGCGGCTTGCGTTCAAATTTTAAGTGAACTTAGCCGTTGGTCATAAATTTAAAACGATTTGCGAAGATTACGCAAAGAATATTTACTTTACTTGCATTGAGAAATATGGGGTAAGTATTAGGGGAGAAGAGAAAAATTGTAAGATTCCATGTAATTTGGAAAGAAAGGGATTGCAAAGACAAGTTGAAGGAAGAGATGCTTTTTCATTCATTGCCATTACTACGGTAGGGGGTTTGTCAGGAGAAGCTGTTTCAGGGAATTTATTCTGATTGAGATTTTTTTTTTTCAAAAAAGTATCTTTACCAAGTTAAAAGAATATATTCGCATAAGTAATAAGTTTTGTTTGGATACTCAATGCGGACTTTTTTTTCCATAATAATTTTATAGTTAAAAATTAAATTTAGTTTTTTGTAAACTTAAATAAACCTTAAAAAATGTGCTTCTTACATATATTTTTGATATATTTTTTTTTTTTTCTAAATATTTTGAGCTTATTTAGTATTTTTTTTTTTTTTTTTTAATTAATATAATTTGGTACACAATATTTTATTTCACTTTATTTCTTATTTCATATTTTACTGCGTATTTATTTATTTTTGTTTTTTATTATATACCCTACACGACTTGTTGTACAAGAATGTATTAAGTTTATGCGCATGTTTACAACACCCGGTAGGAGTTGAAATAGATCCAATTTTAATTACATCGATCTAAGTTTGTCTGTCCTTCTCTCCGTCTGATTTTTTGCTTGCATCTCGTAATTTTTGAGATATTTTAATAAAATTTATTAAACCGACATGTTTTGGCCCAAAGAGGAAGGGCACTGAAAATGGTAAAAATCGGACCATTTCTTATGTAATGCCTTCTTTTTTTTTGGAAAAATTTTGTATATGAGTAACTGTACTTAGCGAAGCGATGTAGGGTATTTAATGTAATGATTTTAAATTTGTTTTTTACGTACTTTATATTCTGCTGTTGTTATGCTTATTATTTTTATTATTATTATTGTATTATAATTTTTATTTTTACCTTTTCTTTATGTATAATTTCTTTGTTTCATTATTTTACACCTGAGCTGGTTTGGTTTTGCCAAGGACCATAAGCACCTTCTGCAGAAATCGCGTTACGGTTACTGAAATTGTTAAAAAATAAAAATCGAATATTATTAAAAAAGAAAAAATTTGATTTTTTCGATTGTCATCTAACCAATCGGACCAATCGGTCCCATGCAGTTTATCGCTTGGTATAATTTTTTTTTTTTTTATAAAATTAATTGCGTTTATAAAATATTTATTCATTGTGCTTGAATGAGTAATAAATTCCGGAACGGAAACGATGAACCGAAAAACCGTATAGTCTAAGTGTAGATTAAACTGGTTCTAGAAAAAAGTTACAGTCACAATCGGTTAATGCATGCTTTGGTGTTACCCGCATTAGATTGTATTTTTAATTAACGATCGGTGCTGGGGAAGGAATTAGTTAACGTTAAAAAAATCGAATTGTTGCCGGAATTTGTGACGATTCGATCTATGTATTGTGTTAATTGACTTATCATTATACATTCTGCTGGAGATTTGAGGTATACCAGATCAATTTTGCCAGTCGGATGAATCAGAGACTTTACACTTTTCAATTATGATAAGATTTTTGAACGATTTCTCATACCTGGTTTTCGGTCTGTTTATTCGTCCGTCTTTCTGTCGGATACTAAAGTCCAAATCTAAAATTTTTTACTTGCTGGCAGATCAATATTTGAAACGACTGTTTGAAAAGACAATCTAAGACATCAATACGAAATGGATGCCATTAATCCACTAATGCGCACGCGACAAGGAATAAATTGCGATTACAAACCACTGTCCTAAAATTTTTGGTGTTAATCTATCGTAAGGTCAATTCAATAAAAGCGTAAAGAGGGGAGATTAGTTACAGCATATATCTTTTTGATCAGTGTAAGTTTTTAGTCGATAAAAGTTTAGTAAATGACGACCTGACATGTAACAAAACACGTTGTTGCTCTGATGTATGAGTTTAAACTGATGTTATTAGATATTAAAGATTCGCTTAAGGGAAAACTTTAATTTTTCAATCGTTACTTATTGATTTTAGCTGATAGATAGACATCCGTGTGAGGAGGTCAATATAAATTCTTTCTTTTTCCTTATGCGCTTATAGAACAAGAGAATAATGAATAAAGAACTTGACACAAATACATTACAGTATACATACAGTAGATCAACAATAAATCAGTGTTAAACTTGGTTTTTTGTTAATCATTGAACTAAAAAGCAATTTAAACACGAGTAAGTGTTCAGTGTTTACGAACAATGAGTCTATGTTTTAAGTGCTTATCTGATGATATTTGCAAATGTGTTGATATTACATAAAATGTAGGATCACGTTATTAACTTGGCTCGAAAGGACGCATGCTCAATATCTTACACAGATCAAATAGTTATTCAAAAATTGCTTTGTTATGGTGAAGATGAAAAAATAATTAATATCTTAATCGTATATGTTAGTAAAGAAAATGAAAAAAAAAAAAAAAAATTATTACAAGAAAAGGGATTTAGAAGAAACAAAATATTTGTTTAAAAATAAAAACCTTTGAAGAGGAACTTTTAGGTCGAACAACCATCATCACTTTTTGCAAAGTTTGAGTCAAACCACCTAAGAAAAAAATAAATAACAAATATATAGAGAAATAATTATATAAAATAGTAATTAACTAAATCATAATCATAGAATACAATAGAAATGGAAATAGAATAGAATATGAGGGCTAAGGAAACACTTGGAAATGTTTTAATGAAAATTTGCAGAAATATTTATATAAATTACCCATTGATTTCTGGAACCAAAGAGGTTTACTTTTCCATGCAATGAATATTAAATATACCGGTATACTGGATAAAATCATTAGAATACCATATCCAGTTTCCACAGGACTAGCATACATGGGTACAACGGTTACGAATACTGTGGCAATTAAATAAACGATTGGAAAGATTAAAGGTACACGTATGGGACGGGGTAGATTGGGTTGAGCCCATCGTAGCCACGGTAAACATAGGACAGCAACACCAATACTTAGCTGAAAATGTTTAAAAGTACAGTTGTAAAAAAAAAAAGAAGAAGAACATAATTCGATTCGATTCATTGCACTTACCCAAGTAGCGAATCCAACATAATTAATTAAAGCAAATATATCGGATACTGTTAAGTATAACATTGATAGAACAGCCATAGCCAGAACGGCGGGTGTAGGTGTAAAACGTTGTATTTGAATCATTGTCAAAATTTCAGGCATTTGACCTTCATTCGCTCCGGCATAAAACAAACGCGACGAAGTTAACAAAATGCCGTTCACGGCACCGAAGGTGGATAAAGCCACAAATACTGCGAAAAGAAAACGTGGTAGATGATTAGGATTGAATCTATTTACGTAAGCTTCCCATTAGGTTGAAATATAATCTGATATCTTGCATGAGGCTTATTTAGGTACTATGAACTCTTCTTCGCATCGTATATAGAGAAAATTCGAATAGAGCTTGAAGCAACTTTCTTTTGTATGAAAGTAAAACGACCGGCTGAATATTTGTATCTGTGGACTAGTGGTTAGACGGAGAAGTTATTTTTTGTGTACCAATATCGCTCTTCATTTTAGAAGTACGTCTTCTGCTCATTGCCTTGCTAGAGTTACTTTGGATTGTTTAAAAACTTTCTTTCATGAGACTCTCTTTATGGGACAGAACATGTAACTAAACTCACGAAGTTTTCCACGTTCGACGCGTACGTTATTTATTAAGAGCGCTTCTCACCGAACCATGTTCTAAAGAATGCCTTCCTTTCGCGGACTTCTTACACTACGTTTTCAAGTTTATGTTAAAAAGAACTCCGCGGTTAGGCTTAAAATAGTAGTATAGTCCAAGAAGCCATCTAATCGATGCTTTTTTTCTGTGTCAACATGCTGTCTTCATTTCTGCCTGGTATTTTAATTCGACGATAGGTCGGTAAAGTTGTCAAAAGTGAATTTAATCTTTAGTAAGTCATACGGACAGCGATCTCTTTCAGAGAGTCGCAATATTCTCTTTACTTATTAGATTTCTTTTTCTAATTGGGGAGGGATAGATATGAAGCAGGTTGAGATGTTTAAAATTTTTTTGTAGATCTGTCAATTGCTTGGTAACTCTACCTGGCATCTTGGGCAGGTGAAGTTGTCAACACCAAACATAATGCTTGATAAACGATTCGCATAAGTATGAATTATTCTGTGATCATTTTGTGATTAATTTCAGACTATCGCCGAGCAAAGAACACGAGAGAGACGAATTCACTAAACAAACATGCCATCTTTATGAGGAATTTTGAATACTTTCTAGCTAGGGTGTTGAACTTAATAATAAAAAATTTTATATTTGGGTTTTTGGGCCGATGTAGTATCTTGTGAAGTGAATGAAATATAAGGGAAACAATGAATGCGTTGGGTCTTGAATGGAATGGAATTTTTAAATTTGAAGCAATTTTTCAAACCTTAAGCGGAAGGTTAATATTTCCTTTTTCCGAGATAAGACTGATAGCGAAGGTTTCTGCATTTTTATATCTTTACCTGGAATGGTCCAAGCGATAACACCGAAAGCTCTTTCAGCATACGTTACGGCTACTGCTTGGGAGCCCAGAACTTCGGTGGGCGACAAAAGCGTATAAAATGAGACATTAGCTAAGACATACACCACTGTCACTAAGGTACAAGAAATGGCAATGGCCCGTGGTAGATTTTTCACAGGATCCTTCAACTCTTCAATAATGAAATTTAAATAATTCCTTAAGGAAAGTAAGAAAAGAAAGAAAACAAAACATATTTAATTGTCTTATTAAATAGAAGCAAACATATAATAGAGCTAAAGGCAGCGAATAAATCCTATTACGTTGAAAATGTCAACATGTCCCATGCACGCAATTATACACTCACACACACTCGCTCAAATCCCTATGAAATAAAGTTTAATAAACTGTTTCTTGTTCCTTGTTGCACTTACCAGCCATTGTAAGCAAAAAGGCCGGAGTAGAAAGACAAAGCCAATGATGTGACGCGTGTGTCTGTATTTTCGAATGTGAAATACTCTGTGCGACCCAAGTACAATTGATAAAGTCCCGACGCAATGATTATAAATAAGGCCAAAAGCTAGATACATAATACAGAATGAGATATTTTTTATTCAACTTAAGTAAATTTAAAATATTTCTCTTACTTTAGCGTACGTAAAAATATCCTGCACAGCAGTGGCCCATTTTACGTCCCAACAGTTGACAAACGTTAAGACCACTAAAACAAATAATAGATATAAAAGTAGAAAATAGCATTAGGAAAAAAAAAACAGACATCTTCTGTAAGAAGAAGAATTATTTAACATTTTAAAAAGTATTTTTAGACGGTCAGTCACCCTATAAGACATATGAATATATTTTTTGATTTTATTTTTTATTTGTAATTACTATTGCACATAACTACTGCATGTAGAGAATAATAGTAAAAATAATTCATCGATTTCTGTCATTAAATTTACTTTCATCGGACTACGACGAACCTTTGAGGCTCAATAGATCTTTGGGCAAGTATTTTTTGATTAGTTCATCTTGGATTTTCAAAAATTGTTTATTAACTTTATTTTAAATTAACAAACATTGGATATGGGGCTCTTTTTCGACTGTGAGCCTGTAGGGCTCATCGTGGTATGATTTGTTATAAAAATGCGTGGCCCAATTAGGGTTAATATTGCAGGTAAACAGCATGCTTTACAATATGTTTGTTTATTTATTTCTTCCTATTTTTTTAATGGCAACATGTGTTTTAGTTCTTAATGAAGTGCTTACTGCAAACAGTGGCTCTGATGGATAAATAATTCTATTGTACAATAAATTAGAAGAATTAAATTTTTCTCCCAATATACTTAGTTATGTTTGTGTGTTTGATAGAAAATTTTCTATTTTTTTTAGTTTTCACTAAAGCGATTTGGGAGATGATTTTTACTTCTGTTCCTGTGTCTGAATATGAAGCTTTGCTACATTACGTATTTTGTGTCATCAGTGTTGAAGAGTAGTGAGTGAGGGGGGGGGGAGAGAAGGAGAAGGAGAGCGAGCAAAATTTTAAAAAATTACAAAATATGAAATATGAGCTCGGCGTTATTAGGAACTTGCTTCCATTCACCCTATGGCTGGTTCTTGGCTATTTCGCATATGAATAGACTGTTCTTGATGTATGTTATATACTAAGTGTCCCCATGTATGTTACGATTTGAATGCCAGGGTGGCGAAAAAAGCGTTTTTATGTAAGCGTCGTGATGTCGACTATAGCATGGACTGCTTTTGCTTATACCCAATGTAAGATTATATTCTCGATGAAACCTAGGATTTTTTTCGTTTTTTTTTTTTTTTTTTATTCTAAAGCAAAAGTGATTTAAATCCTTGTTTATATACTCCTGTCAATCATGCTTACTATGATGGGTATTAAAAATTCGTTTTAATACCTCATATGCTTGATCTTCATTGTTTACATTTACAATAGTTCTAGGTGGTCTAGTAATAAGTGATACCTAATGGGGAACATGCGTTATCACATGAGTAAATGGAAAAATGGAAAACTTTCTTATCAGCGCAAATCATACGATTGCCGTCATGCAATAGATAGAGAGAAAGAAAGAGAGAGAAAGAGAGAGATAGAGAGAGCGGGTGACTGAAAGGGGGAAGGAAAACGAAAGATTAATATGCGTTTAGTTGCATACAGTTTCGCTTCAGATGTGCCGATTTTGTTGAACATTTTTTATTATTTACAACAAAAATAAAAAGGCAGTAAATCGCGGAAGAAGATTATTTTAAATAGAATGCAAACGATAGCAAATACATGTCGAGGAAGCTTTTGATACCATTTTAATTTGTTTGACTTTGTTTTTGTATTCTACTCGGGTTTTCATTAAATCAAGTTCGTCATCTTGTATGTAAGAGATTTTTTTGAATAAAGTGACATTTTAAACTGACCTAATTCTGTTTAACCTTTCCTTTATAGCGATCTTGGTGCCCATTACATAAACAATTTCAATACAAATTATGATTACTCGGGAAAATAGCTACAAAGGCCTAGTCATCAAATCATTATAAGCATTATTTGGAAAATTATTGATTGATTTATATAGAATGCATATATACATGTGTACATATAACACATAGTTTCTATCTAGAATAAAACGCTGAAGGACGTTACATCAGCATGTACAGTACTACGGCATATAATAAGAGGTCGTTCAACAGGTGATGTAAGAATTTTTTCCCAAAGAAAGGATGGTTGCTTTCCGAACATTTCAGACTTTGATCTTTGTGTCTGTTATTATTATTGTAATGTTTAACTTATTTGCTTGCGCCAAAAATTCCTTGTAAGAACAAAAGGAAACGCAAAGTCTAACCATAAGTAAAAATCCGAATTCAATGACCGTCTCTCGCTTGATTGCTGAACGTACATTTTTGCGTCCGATTATATTTGCTATTTACTAATCATTACTGAGTGCTTATTATTCATTATTTAGTAATTATTTTGCGAAACACGAGCTACTTTGACAACGACTTTCGTGAAAAGCTTTTAAGCCCCATTTTAAAGATACCTAATATTGGTTTCATCATCTGAAAGTAATAAATAACCATTTAATGCTTCATCTTAGTTTTTACTTTTTCATCACTACACCTCAACGGACCGTCGCAACTTTTTTATTCTCAAAAATCTAATTATTAGGAAAAAGGAAACGCATTTTGAAGGCAGTGAATCGTTTGGTAGCCGGATTTTGCCAATCACTCAAAGGATGTCCTCTGTACGCGTAACATGGTGACGGAAAGAAGTGAAGAGAGGGAAAAATATAAGCGTATGCCGGCGGCTTATACCTGATCGGTATATGTTATGCCTAGATAGATTGAACACTGACTATAGCTACCACCAATGGAAACACTAACGTAATCTTGCATTGTGTTCGAACCTTTTGACTGCGTTTTTTATCATAGTTTTTTCGGTGACTTTGCATCAAATTTGGGAATGCGAAGCAGTATACTGACACAATATCAACATTGTTCTAAAACAAGTATGTTAGGTTAAAGAGACAAACATTTTTGAGTGTCTTTGGTTTCGTAATACTGCTACAAATATATGTATTGTAAGCGTAACATGCAATGTTACAGAATTAAGGTCACTTTAGATAAGAGAACCGAGCACATATTTATTGCATGGGATCTCTATACTCCTTTAGGCATTCAAATACTATCGATAAATTTGTCATAATCCGTGAGGTTGAGGTAAGCATCAACACATTTGGCCTAAATGAAATATTAAATCTAGAACTACCGCTTGGGTGAAAATGACCTTGTTTCAGTTTCTTCTGCCTTGCGTGCATATAAGTCGATCACGGCGATTTCTTAATCTCATATTCTCGATTGATAAAGGAATGTTTGTGCAAAGTTTCAGCTTTCTATCTCCACTCTTTTGACTATAGCGATTTCATAAATGTTTAGACTCACAGTGTTTGTAGAATCGCTAATCCATAATAGTAGAGAGAGAGTTCTAGTAGCAAGTTGTAATTGTAATTAATTGTTAACTTATGATTTTCGCATAGAAAAAAACAAGCAACCAACACATTTGTTTTACTATTAATCATGTTAATGACAATGGTAAGGTTTAAATGCTTTCACTTACGTATACAGCAAACGGCTAAGAGACGAGCAGAATCTTCAGGTGGCTGACATTCGGGAAAAAATGGTTTCATTACGTATACGCTAAATGTTAAAGCTACAATCGCTTGAGAACACGGACGCACAATCATGCATTCAATCCATAGACGTATGAATGCCATAAATGGACCAAAAGTTTCCATAATATAAGCGTAATCGGCACCAGATTTTGTAATCATTGTGCCCAATTCGGCGTAACAATAGGCGCCAACCTTAAGTGAAAAGAAAATAAATAAATGATAGAATAAGAATGAAAATATATATAAAAAAAATTAATTTTAATAAAAAATGTCTATCATTCCTACAGTGCTATGCAGTCTATTGCTGCAATTATTTTACAAGTCAATTGCATTCCATACGAGTACTGGTATCCTATCATTTCTACCAATTCATGATAAAAGCAAGCATAAGTTTGTAAAGTGTGTCGATTGAGTTTGCACTCCTCACGTAGATGAGGCAGGCGCAACTACTGCTGCCTGTCTTATTATCAAGAATGCTTGTAATTTCTCCAGAGTAAATGAAGTTTGCATAAGTATTAATTTCATTCCTTTCTTTATATGGCATTTTTTTTCCCCATAAAAAATTAAACCAAACGCTTTAGTATTGTGTGCTTGAAAAGTTAATTGAAAGGAAGTGCAAAAAAAGTGTTTTATGGCTTGAAACCTATCTTTGATATTATTTACGTCATAAATATTTTCTTCTTTGTTTTTTTTTTTTTTTTTTGTTAAGTTTGGTTCAGATCGTTCGATCGTTTTTATGACTTTCTTCATTAAGTTTTGTATTTCACCGAAATAAATTTCGAAACGATAATCTGCTCGTGAGTTTTAATTTAATTTTAATTTAATTTTGCAATTTACAGCTTCTTCATCAACGACATTTTCCGAAAGTTTCAATTCAATTTTTGATTAAAGCTCTCGGAGTAAGTGTCTTTGAATCTTTGTACTATTTTGTGCTATTTCTGAAGTCGGCGGATAGAATTTTCCATAAACGATACATTGATCTGCTTACAGAAATAATTCGATTTTTCGATTCGAAAACTATTACGTTCTTGTATTGCATTCTTCGCTAAATAAGAAGGATTCGGAAAACCATAGACCACATAAGCTGAATTTTCCAAATTTTTTTATGAAAGTTTTGCAAAATATACTTGAAATGTTCTTTGGTTATATGCTTAAAGGTTTGAATAAAAAAATATGTAATTATTATATATGATATAATATCGGATGTAATATCGGATAGTTCGATAAGAATATTCGACAAGTATACGCATTGAATGGTAGACATACGGACGTGATTGACAAGTGAACTAAAATGAAGATGATTCACGCTTGTATCAAGTGAGCCGTGACCACTTGCGCCGCTCTATTTTGTATGAATTGCAGCAAGAACGAAAAGCTACTAAAGTCTGAAGCAATTTATTGAATATGTTTGGCGAGGACGCAGTTTCTAAAGTTGATTCGATAAAATTTCAATTAAGTGATTTCGATCTTTCGGATAAGTCACGCTCTGGCCAACCATCTTTGATCCACAACAACATTCTCAAAATCGTATTGGAGCAAAATCCTTTTTCGGAAATTGCAGAGAAACTTGATTCTTTATTCGGGAGCTAGAAATTTGTTTTATTCATAAAATGTGCGGAACTTTCCGATAAGCCTATTATATAATAAAATATTTTCCTTCTCTCTAATCTCTCTCACTTCATCAATGTTTATTCCTATTTTCAGCTACCTACGGCTACTGCTGTAGTCTTAGTCTAGCTAATAAAATGTAGTCCGACTTGTTCAAATGGTTTCAAAATCTTATTTCGAGCAATTCTTGTAAATTTGTAAAGACGGTTAAGTGGCACTGGTGGATGGTAAATTAATGTACCGATAACTGATATAACAAAGAAAACAGCTAGAGATCACTTTGCTCACTTCAAGGGAAATTTTGGATAGCAATTACTTAAGTGATGAGTACAAAGTGCGTTACAAAGTAGGAGTTGAATTGAATGAGATCCGTAAAATCTAGTAGCATAGCTTCAGTAAGTATTTACAGCAAATTTTCAACTAATGAGAGATTTGTTTAGTTTTTTTTTTTGGCTAAAGTGGGCGTCGTTATCGGACAGTACGAGCTGTGCGAGTGAATGGAAGATGAAAGAAGTGAATAAATTCATCAAATTTAATGACCACCATGTAGCCAAATTATTTAAATCAATTCGAAGTTGAGACGAATGCGATATGAAGAAGAACTTAAAGAACTTAATTGCAAAATGAAAAAAAAAAAAAAAAGCAAGAAAAAATGATTGCTATCAACTTTTCGGATTTGCCTTTGTTTGCGAGTTGAAGTAGGTTGAAGAATTTCACGAAATATAATTAATAAGAAGTTTATAGGGCAATAGGGCAATGCTAAGATAGCGATTGCAAAAAGTATACTAAAGGACGTAAGACGAAAACTAATTAAGTGTAAGTTATTCGGTTGGGAGTCGACTAAACTGTAATCGATATAAAATTTGAATTCATTTATTTTTTTTTTGCCCTCTGAGGTGAGTATTTTTTTTTTTTTTTTTTTTTTTTTCAAATTACACTTTTAAGGAGCAATACTGCTTGCCGTCATAAAATTGTTATTGGTTACTAAGAACGCATTTCTTTCTATGACTTTTCTCTTAATTCAAATGCAAATAAATTATAAATTCTTTGTAAATTTATTATCTCCTGCGTTAGAAATCAAGCAATTTATGCATATAACAAATAAATGAAATGTAAAATTCTTGCTTAACCACTTTTATTTAAAGAGATGAAATTGAAAATTCGATTAGCAACGAATAGTAAGCACCTTACGTCAATACAAAGTCTTCTTCGAATTTTGATCATAGAAGAGAGAAAATACTAAACATTTGCCAGTGCAGCGCGTACACTTCGAGTATGTAATCGCTTTGGGGCATATTTTTTCTACGATATACCCTAAGCAGGTATATTAAAACTGCTAAGCTCATTGCAACTGGGAAATAACTTTGTTTATTTAGTGAAATTTTGAAAGATTTTTGTCAGATTTTAGAGTAATATTTAATGCAGGTTATAAGCTAAGTAACGGCATTGTTGGTTTTATCCCCGCCTATTCTAGATAAGTTTGAGAGAGGTTCATGAACAATTAAACAATCTGATTCGTGAAACTAGAACCTAAGAAGACACATGTTAAGTTTTTGGTCCCTGCCTCTAAAGTATTTAATTCTTTGGAAACTTCAATTACCCAGGGGCAAGAGGACAGAGCAACACCACCTTTAATAACTAAAAAAGCAAGTCAGGTATGGCTTAAGGTAAGTCTATATTTTCTTAACGCTGCAAAAGCTCTTTTTCCCGCTTTTGTGATCCTTCGAATGTGTATCTGTCTGCCTCATCCCTACCTGCAAAGTTTTCCTTTTGCCTTAAGCTTGTCTATAGGTTTTTCCGTCCCTCTGTCCACCTATCTTTCCGTTTTGTGTATTCATTCCACCGCTTATCATCCTTTCGCTCTTCTGTACGTTTGTCAGCCTTTGCGTCCGTGCTTTAAAATGTCTCTTCATTTTTTATTCGTTCGTTTTTATATCTCTTTCTCGTACTCCTACGCTAGCTTTCTTTTGAGTGTTTCCCACTTGACAGTGTGCCTAATTGTCCGCTTCTCCAGGCATCTTACTGCCTGCCTTTCTCTTTGTTGACGTTTTTAAATCAAGCTCCTGAAGTGGGAGCCTTTATATATGTAACACACTGAGAAAATTCCAAAAAAAAATGTAAATTTATTTATTATTGTTTTTGCTATCAAAAATTAAAAATGAAAAAGGATCCGATATATGATTGTATGAAACATATCCATTCTCGATCAGTTTAGAGAGACGATGATGAACTTAACAAAAACCAGTTTTGCGTAGTTCTTTAAAAACGTTAGCAACGTAGCAATACAAAAATTGCTTTAAAAGTTTCTTCCATATGTCACACAAAGGAGGAATAGCTGTGCATGCTTTAAATTAATTATAGTGAATGTGTAAACAATCCCGCACTCATTCACCCACACAAACCATTGCACAATAATAAGATAAAGTTAATAAAAATTGTAAAAGATAACGTAAGTGAGGCATAAATAAGATACACGTGGTGTATATATGTATAAATAATAAGTAAAAAAAAAAAAAAAAAAAAAAAAAAAAAATTTTACAATTTACATCATTGCAAGCATATTAAAATAGAATTTAAATAAACGTAGCGTATTCAAGTTGAGTTTTTTCAAATAACTTACCATAGAAAATAAGCCCGAGACAATCCAAACAATTAATGCTAAATTAACACTACCCGTGTACATGAGGACTCCAGTAGGCGATACGAATATGCCGGAACCAATTATTGAACCGACTATTACGGTGCAACCATTAATAAGACTCATTTTCGCTTTTAACGTCACATCGCCACCGCCACCGTCATCACCATCTGAACCATTGCTAATTGGTTTGGTCTTTGTCTCGCCGTCACCGTTTATTATGGAATTTTTGGGTGACGATGATGAGGTTTTGCGATTTAAAGATTCAGTCTCCATAATGTTCGTATTTTTTTTGATCTGCTAATCTACTTGAACTGAGTGTGAGCAAGAATATAGATAGATGACGTTGACGTCAGTCAATCCGTGAATTATTTTCCAAATAAAGTGTTCTTTAAATATAAAGAGAGAATGAATGGCCAGAAGTGCAGAATTATGTAAACGTGCGCCTGTTAGGAAAAGCAAAATACAAGATAAAATTATTGCTTTAGTAAAATGCGTAATAACTTAAATTATAAATAAAATGAAATTATCATCGTCATCATTACCATGTTTGATACGAAAGGTAGGTTTGTTTACTCATTTATTTATTCTTTCTTGTTCAACCAACAGCTCGATTGCCTGGGCAGAGAGAGCATATTGTAGTTTTCTTTCATTAGAAATTGAATAAATTGCTATCTGTTTTGGAGGCGATTTTACAAAATTTTAATAAATCTTGTCTTGTCTCTGTAGGTGGAACAAAAAAAAAAAAAAAAAAAACAGACGGACGGACAAGCTTAGTTCGTTTGTGAAAGCACTCCTGTTAATATATCTTATCCACCAAGTGTTGTAAGAGTATAATTAGAATAGAATTTAAATATCAGTAAAAAACGCTTTATCTATATTAGGGATGCATTCTGTTCATACGAATAAATAGATAAATAAATAAACAAATAAATATTGTAATCATATCAGAAGAGTAATCTTTATTACATTTCCTGAGCTTTAAAAGGTTAGAATATTGCTTCTCTTCTTTATGATTACGATTTGTTCAGACCAATGCAGCATAGGTTGGCTGGCGCGTACTAGTTGAAGAAGTAAGAAAATGGGTCAATGATGCCTGATCACTGCATCTCACAGTAAAATATGGTTTGATGAGAAGTCAAGAATTTTTTTCTTTTTTTTTTTTTTTACTTCTTTTCTCGAAGGTGTTCTGAGAGCTAAAACTTTCAGTATATTTTTTTTATTTAGAAATGAATTTCATATCTTTTTAGTACCCATTATTATTATTAGCTCGTAATTAGAAAACGTTTGAGAAGCAAAAAAAAAAAAAAAAAAACAAAAGAGATTGAAAGCGGAAGTAGTGAATAAATAAATGTTTTTAATGAGTTGTGAAAAAATTCTTAAACAAATTAAAACAAATAGGTGCAGAGGGCTGTTTGGCAATTATTTTTGCTCCAGCCTTTGTTTTTATTGTTGTGTGTAAAATAATATACCAAAATGAGGTCTCTATATACGTATGTATAAAACTAGCTATAAAACACGAAGAAAATTATAATCTGAAATTTTCTTCCGTAATTACTTCCTTAACAGATAAGTAGCATTAGACGATAAGCTGCCTAGAAGCTCATTAGAGTATTGTTCTTCTTCTTCTTCTTCCTGAATTTATTATATCGTTGGTAATTCATTAACGTTTTTATCGAAAATAATTGTCGCAAAATAAAATTTTCTTTTCATATATTTTGATTAGCAATAAATTATTTTTGAAAAGATGTTTAAAAGTTCATAGCATACGCCTACACCAGGTTCGACATGTTCTCATAAGAGATAATTTAGAATAATCAAGAAAAAATTTTATTATATGTATATTTTTTATATCCATCCCAATAGACCCCACAAAGTATATATGTATATATATTCTTGATCAGCATCAAATTCTAAATCGATTGTTCGTTTATACATCTGCCCATCTGTTGTAAACATTCCCCAGGCAACAAAAATGAAGCTATCTATGTTCTTGCACACAGGTTAGTGTTGACAATGAGCTAAATCGGTCAGAGGACACGCCTACAGTGCCACGTGAACTGAAAACATCTCTATTTTTCAGTGTAGTGCATCAAAATTTAATTTTTTCAATACCTTTATAAGGCCCAGAAACGAGTTTAAAAAACCTCATAAAATATAGAAATTTTTGGCCATTTTCAACTTTGGAATGCATCCAAGCGTGCCTGCCTTTCCATCTGTCTGTTTGCGCAACTATTTAGTATTTGTGGTAAACTTGTTCCCCTTAGCGAAAATGGTGTATAAATTGACAAAAGAATTTGAAAGTGCGTTAAACGTGTCCACGCCTATGCGACAAAAACTTTTATTTTGAAAGTAGAAAAAATCAGCCGCGCCCACTCCATATTATAAAGCATGAAAATTTAGTTCTGTCACTTTTTTTGCCTTTACGATGACGGATATAAAAGATTCGGTCACGATCAAATATAATTTTCTTACTTGTTTTTTTTTTTTTAAACATTTTTATATTTTAAAAGAAATTTTCTTTAAATTTAATAATTCAATTATATAACTGGCCCAACTGTTGTTAACTTCTTACTAATAAAATTTCTTTCTAAAAAAAAAAAAGTTTTTTTTTTCTTTAATTTTTATCTTTAAGTTTTGTCGTGCCGTCCTTAAATCACGTTCAATGCATTTACTGTTTTATTAATTAACATATATAGCACTGTTTGTTAAGGTAAATTTCAAGTCTCTACGAAGGCGGTAAGCATAAAATAAATGGGAACTTTTGTAGACTCACGCGATATAAATGATCAAAAATGAAAGCAAAATATTAGGTGATCTTCCCTGCACAGCACTGTGTGCTGAGAAACAAAATCCCTTAAGTAGAGGATCATTGAATATAAAAATTTCATCTCTATCTTATTCTTTATTTAACTTTGACCTACTGCCCCAGATACGTAAGTTTGCCTGTAACATTTTAAAAATACATCTGATAGTATATAGAGCAGGCAGTGGTAAATTCAGATCTGGAACAATTTTACAATTCGATGTTTGCGTTCTTATCATTAAAACAGAGCAGAGCGTTCGATGTTTTCATTCTTTTTTTTTTTTTTTTTTGGTTGGCCATGAAAATAAATATACACTTTTTTTATAAGGAGGAGAACTAGGTCTTGCTACTCTCATATGGAACATGCGTCGTAAATGAGTCTCGTTTTCGTTCCATTTAACTTGTGATCACTTTGTTGTTAGTATATAAAGCAATTAACATATTTTGAGTTGACTTTAACCCATTTTACCAAAGGTCTTCAATTTGGAAAATGCTATGTAAGAAGCGTAAAGTAAACGATTTAAATATTTTATGCAAACTTTTCTCGATCTAAGTAAAATTTAGATTTATAGAAACTTTTGCTTGATGGAGTAACCGGATAGCATTAATTAATATTGCCAAAGCCACTCAATTTTTTCTTTGCCGTTTACCCTAAAGAAAGTAGAAGAAGTTTCCAACTTCATGAAGTAGAAAAAAATTGATGACAAATAAAGAGATTGACTTTTGGATTTTGCTGAAAGTTCGATCACTTTGCATTAATAAAAGATGATCGTTGACTTTTATTTGCTTTTTTGATGAAATGAAGAAAAGAAAAAAAAAAAAAAACGAAAATATCTTGAATGAATAGATAAGCATAAAAAAGGAAAGAAAAAACATTTTTTATATTCAAAAACCAGCAAAATAAATATGAATGCATTTTATAAAAATATTGACTCCGAGATAATCGAATTTTTATTTCGTTCGTGGCTAAGAATTTGTTAATAAAAAAAAAAAAAAAAATTCTTTCTTAATAAATGCGTGTCATGCGTGTCTTGCATTCATTCAATCAAAAATTGAATCGAAATTCACTGGACCTTTGCTTAGCATTTGTGGCAAGGACCAAAAATTAGCAAAATAAAAACTGATTATATATAGATAAGTCAATCTAATATAATAGATCGGAAACATTTTCTGAATCGTCCTCTTACATGCATAAACTTAATGTACTCTATGCCACAAATGGTGCATGGTACAGCAATCGCGTGTTAAGTGAAGTGGTGTAGGGTATTTAGTGATGGATTAAAACGTATATAATATTTAAAATGTTTTCTGAAAAATATTTTCTACATTGTTTACAATTTTTATATTTTTTAAATTATATCATCTTTTATGAACAAAGAAATTTAAATATTTATAAAAAATTCTTCTATATTTTGTATCAAGTATGTCTCGCTTTAAATTTAATCGATTGAGAAAGAGAGTGATTGCCGATTGTTATTGTTATTGCACACAAATAAAAAAAACAAAGCAATCGTCAAAAGGAGAATCGTTAAGCGAAAAAGTAAAACTTTATTGTTAGATGATTATCAGTTCACGACATCGTTTCCATTAGCTTTTAATAGAAACTGAGGAGTGGTATAACTAAAAATTTGTGATAAAGTTATCCTAAGGCCAAGTGCTCTTTGAAAGTTACTAGTAATTCAAATAAACGGACAGACGGAGAGACCGGGCATCATCTCCATTAATGTGCGTATTTTGTGTTGACTTTCACATGTATTTCTATAAGTTATCAATATTTGGATAATCATGGATGCTATAGTCTGGAGTCTTAAGTGTAACTTGTCTTGGGATTGAAAAGCTTTGTGTTGCTAGTCAGTTTGCCGGGTAGGGTATCTAGCGATCGCTTTAAGGCAAATAAAACATTATCAATAGCTTTTATTATACACTTTTGCTACCCGCAAGACCTTTTTGTTGAGAAAATTATTCAATTATGAGAAAATGTTAGATGACTTTGTATGCTTTTGTTAACCTTTCATGTAAATTGTTTTTCTCCTTAATTTAATCAGATTATATTTAAAACATTTCAATTGATTGATTGCTCTGAGTGGGAAAAAGCATTTTAGGGATTATTTAAGAAAATTTTATTTTATTATTTATTATTTTAATTATTATTCATAGGTAATATGATGATACATCTGGGGAATACCCTGAACTTTGGATGCTTAATATAACCAAATTTTGCTATTTAAATGTTTTTTTTTTTTTTTTTTTTTTTTATTATGCACGTATATTAATACTTTGCTAATTTGTAATAAATTTCTAACGGAAAAAGAAAAAATTATTATCATTTTCCTGAGAAAGAAAGTCTTAATATTAATATTAAATATAAGATTTGAGCGTAAATAGTCTGTAAATTTTTGCCTTTAAATTATATAAAAATCAGACATTGGTCGCGCAATATTCGAATAAGCCACATACACACACAAACACACACAAAGCGAGAGATATAGAGATGGAAAAAAGGTTGATTAACGCAAGTTATGGTAAGAAAAATAATAACAATGATGCGGTTTTCTGCCTGCTATTTATTGTTGTTATTGTAATTATTGTTTTTGTAAGCAAGAAATAAGCGAGAGAAAATAATAATTACTATTATTATTG